ACAAGTCTCCTCCACCACCATATGTCTACAGCTCTCCACCACCACCATATTACTCACCATCCCCTAAAGTTCATTACAAATCTCCACCACACCCGCATGTATGTGTCTGCCCACCACCTCCTCCATGCTATGCTCCTTCACCAAAAGTAACATACAAATCTCCTCCACCACCATATGTTTACAGTTCTCCACCACCACCATACTACTCGCCTTCGCCTAAGGTGTATTACAAGTCTCCTCCACCACCATATGTTTACAGTTCTCCACCACCACCATACTATTCACCTTCTCCTAAAGTGTACTACAAGTCTCCTCCACCACCATATGTTTACAGCTCACCACCACCACCATACTACTCACCTTCCCCTAAGGTGAACTACAAGTCTCCTCCACCACCATATGTCTACAACTCTCCACCTCCACCACCATACTATTCTCCATCCCCTAAAGTAGACTACAAGTCTCCTCCACCTCCATATGTTTACAGTTCTCCACCACCGCCTTATTATTCTCCTTCAATTTCTCCAAAAGTTGAGTACAAATCACCACCACCACCAGCTACGTATTACTAAAAGTTAGTAAATTATACCCTTAAATGAGTTACTGCTTTCTTAAAGTTAACAGTTCTTGTTTTTCGGAAGAACTCTTGTTTTTCATTTCCTTTCTTGTTATAACATGTATGCAATCAATTTCAATGTTCTTGAGAAATGTCTTCATAATTTGGTTACAAATCCATATGGTTTTGTGTGTTTTCTTTTATTAAATTTCTGCAAAAAGACCTTGTGGTCTATTTGTAGTCCTTTGCAAACGGTGGTTATGTATTTTGCTTATTCTTGGCATGGTACTTTTGGACAACTATATAGTCCTCGTAACATAAGTTTTGTATATGGATTAATTGCATACCAAAATTGCAAAGATTTGGTTAAAATTTTCTCTAGTCTTTGTTCGAGATTATGCAACAAAGTCTAGCGCCAGAAAACTAACAAAACATGTCTTCTCGGCGTCAAGATCCCGAAGTTGTGAATGTAGAGATACGGTAGATCTTTTAATCATTAACTGTGTATGTTCTTTTTGATGGATTGTTTCGTTTCTTATACTTTGTTGTTGGTTTATATGAGCCGATACGCATGGCACATTAGTTATCTCTTAACGCACTAACTAACATACAATGTTATAAAGTGGTTATCTCCTTGGTTGTTTAGCAGCAAAGGCAACATTAGCCTAAACGAGAAGCTAAGAGTTCAAAAGAGTGCAACACACTAACAGAAAATCTACGAGGAAGAAAAGCAGTCCATGACTAAACAAACACAAACATTAACACAATAACACCATAAGCTACCAATTAGCAGATCATATAACCACGCTAAAGAAACAAATCACTCCTTTGTTGATGAGAGACTTGTGGATGTGAGGGATCACATCTCTTTCAGCAATAGTTCCTTTATTGAGCGTATCAAGCTCCTCTCTGATCGCCAACTACAAATGCCTTAGAGTTATCCTCTTCACTTCCAAATATTTGCTGGCATCTCCAGAATCGAAGCCCTGTTAACAGCAGCAGTGGCACTATCACTTTAAAACAAAAAACAGTATTTAGGTCTTTAATCTTGAATGATATTATCCTACCATTCCTACGTCAACTTCTCCAATTAAAGCAGAGATTGACAAAGATCACGTGTTTATCAACGAAGAATCTTTTATACGCTAGTGAGTGATGATTATTTTCAATAAAATATTTTTTTAATAGCGAAAAAACAATTATACTGTGAATAAGAAAGGTAAAAGATAACTTTTTCCAATTTTCTTGTCACAATGAAATTTTGACATCAGAATTTTTTGTGTTAAATTGTAAAATGATAGTAAAACGGTTGTTTTGGCCAATTCTCAAGCATTAAACTACATCACACTACATATGCTTTTCTTTAAACAAAATATATAAATAGAAACCAAATATTTACTCAAATATTGTTCTTTTGGTAAAATCAATGCAATCTAATTTATTTACTCAGTTATATATGAAAATAAGAAGAAAACACCACACCATGTTCCTAAATTTGAATCGCGGGCTTGTAATTCTTGTTGAACCTAAAATATCATTCATCACTTAAAGTTTGACTTACTGCACTAGTTACTGCTATAGTGCTATTGGTTAATTAAATTAACAAGAGAATTACAAGAAATGCCACGAAGCGATTTTGAGGAACCATCAAGTTTCTCTAAACGTTCGTGCACGTCTCATACTAGCATCGTGGAGACATGCCTCCAAGGTTTAGCTGGATGGAGTCAAAAAACTGGGAAAAAAGATATTGTAGAGCTGGATTTAGAGACAAAAAAAATTCCTATATAAACCCATGAGCCCGTTCCTTACAACACAAACCAAATCACCAAAAATAACCAACGTTGGTAGAGAAAAAGAACATCAAAATTATGAGATCTTCCTCTAGCATGGGGCCTTCAGCCTATCTCTTTTACGCTCTAGCCATTACCATCATGGCGACAATGGTTGCTGCCTATGAACCATATACATATAGCTTGCCACCACTCCCATCATATTCACCATCTCCGAAGGAATACAACACTCCTCCGCTACTGTTATATCCTCAATTTTCTACCACCTCCGTACTATTCCCCATCACAAAAGATAGACTACAAGTCTCCTCCAATACTATTTATCTACAGTTTCCCACCAACACCACCATATTCCTTTCCATCAACAAAGCTTAACTTTTAATATTTTCTACCATGTACGGCTCTCTACCACTACCATCATACTACTCAGTATCCCCTAAAGTGGATTACAAGTTTCCTCTACCCCTGTACCGTTCCCCACCACTGCCACCTTTTTTTCTCTAAAAGTAAAGTACAAGTTTCCATCAACACCTTCATGATGCTACTGAAAACCAGTAATGTGATTCTTAAATAAACTACCAAGTTTTATTTGATTTTTTTTTTCTTTATACAAGATGTACGCAATCAGTTTTAATTTCCTTGGGCATGTCGATAAATAAGTTGGGTAACAATGCCTTCATATGATGGTTTCATGTATTTTTTTTGTGTGCTCATGTTTCATGTATATTCGTTGTTGCAAATTGTGATTATATATAAATTGCTTATTCTTGACATGGTACCATACTACCATTGGAAAACTACGAATCGACCCCCTTGACCTAACATGAGTTTTGTATATGAACTACATACCTAAATTTTAAGTATTATTGAAAAGTTTAATAGTTTGGACAGTCAGTGGGAGATCAAGAGAATCGTCCATATCAATAATCAATAGAATCGTCCATATCAATATTATGGAAACTGAAAAAATTGATTCATAATATCTAAAAGATATAAAAGAATTTTTAAATTAAAATAATGTTAAATTATTATATATTTTCATATTAGTCGAGGAAATTTAGTTACATTGTTTTTTTAATGTAAACATATGTGTACGGTAACATTATTTTATAAAAGTATAATATAGTTTTTGATAAACTATATTTTATGTTGTTTACTTTTATTAGTTTATTATCGTGGTATCAAGTAAAATATTCGCGAAGAGGATAAGAACATCAAACTGAACGAATTAAACAATGAATTAATGTTTAAAAAGAATTAAAACCATCTTCATCATTAGAAATCGTGTGAAAATTAATACGTTTATTCAAATTGTTATGTTCAAACTCACACTTTAAAATATCGGTGAAATCAATTGATCACGTTTACTAATTAAGAAAAAAAACGCAGTACACTCATAACATGATCAACCAAATATTCAAAACAGCCCACCCCAAAAATTGTTCACGTCGTATATACTTTTCGTTAATCAAAACTAATAAAACTAAAAAAAAAATCAATAAACAGCGTTTAAGGAGAAAAAGTGAACAAAAATAAATAAAATGAGTTGATTTCATCAGGATAGAAATCTCTGATACTGTGATACATGACAAATTGATGAAAGTAGAAAACACAAATATATTTTAAAATATTATATTAGACTCTGATAAAATAATGTTACGATATGCATATATATATATATATATATATATATATATATATATATATTTATTTAGTGATTAATCTAATCTAATTCCCTAAACTAACATAAAAATAATTAATAAATAATAGATAAATAACATTTGAGATATTCTTCTGTATCTTTTCCATATCTTTTTTGATCATTTGAATTTTCCAAATATTTCTTGATATTCATGTTTCCATAATATCGATGTGGGACCAATCTTCATGATCTCCAAAAACTAGAATATTAACATTAAATCTTCATTTTGACCCCGAAAAATACATTGACACCATCGTTTATCTTGATATTCATCGTTTATTATAAAGTATGTATACACTTTTTTTTAATGAATTTTCATTAGTTAATAGAATGTTAACATAAAGCAATCAAACATCTAAAACAACAGAAAAGGGGAGAAAGATCAGTGAAACTATTTGACCTTTCACCAAAAAAAAAAATCAGTGGAACTGATAGCTTCATGAGTTTGTTACTGTATATATACATTATACACGATAACACTACATGGGTTTTCTATTTCCATTGAGTAAGTAGCGTCGTGGGCTTCATTGGCGTCAAGCTTAGGACCTTTTAATCATCCACATTCTGCCTTGAGATAAATTATGTAAATGTGAAACGTAAGCTTGTGGTAAGAAGTTGTTGTCTCCCTATACAGTAATTAGACAATGATAAATGTATGTATCTTGAAGCTGTGAAATGGGAAGGGGAGAAGAACCATCATGGTCCTTTTGGGCTTAAGGATCCTTAAAAGTTGTTATCTTTCTTGGTTGTTTAGCATCAAAGACAACATTAGCTCAAACAAGAAACCTAAGAGTTCAGATTAACTAAATGTACATCTGAGGATGTCCAGAATAGTTCAACACACTAACATAAAAACTAAAGAAAAATTAAAAAACAGTCCAAGACTAAACAAACACAAACATTAACACCATAAGCTACTAATTAGCAATATCACATAAACCACAGTCCCTTAAGAAAACCAAATCACTCCTTGATAGTCTTGTTGATGAGAGACTTGTGGATGTGAGGAATTACACCACCTCCAGCAATAGTTCCTTTGATGAGAGTGTCAAGCTCCTCATCTCCTCTGATAGCCAACTGCAAATGCCTTGGAGTTATCCTCTTCACTTTCAGATCTTTGCTCGCGTTTCCAGCTAACTCAAGAACCTCCGCAGTTAAGTACTCTAGAATCGATGCCGTGTAGACAGCAGCAGTGGCACCAACTCTCCCATGTGCTGAAACTCTTGTCTTGAGTTGCCTATGGATACGTCCCACTGGAAACTGTAACAATAAAAAAAAAAAAAAAAAAATTTAGCAAAAACTAAAAATAATAAAAAAGAGAAACAGTATCCAAGTGAGGTTATTATATAACAAAGAAAGCTTCCATATTATAAGACCGAACTATAAATAACATTAAATATCATAACGGATATGTTATTAACATTCCAATGACACAAGATTCAACAATATCAAGACAAACATACATTAATAAAGTCACATAAAATGAGAGCAAATGAAAGAAAGGTTCCGACTTTAGAATTAGAAGTCATTTAAGAATGTAAACTAAACACTTTGAACGCATCTTACAATTGACCCATCAATAATCAGACATTAAAAAGTCAACTTTAAACATCTTTCAAGAAGCTAGGGTTTACAAAACAAAGACTCCACATTATAAGACCGATCAATACGACAATACATAACATTGAATATCATAACCGAACATGTATGGTATGTCATTAGCATCCTAATGACACAAGATTCAGCAATATCAAGACAAACATACATAAAATGAGAGCAAATGAAATAAAGGTTCCGACTTTAGAATCAGAAGTCATTTAAGAATGTAAACTAAACACTTTGAACGCATATTACAGTTGACCCATTAATAATCAGACATAAAGATGTCAACTTTCAATAAAGACAAGAAGCTAGGGTTTAAAAAGGTGAGCTACCTGAATACCAGCACGAGCAGAGCGAGTGATGGGTTTCTTCTTGTCCTTGTCTTTGTCCTTGTTACCAGCCATTGTCTTTGTGGCGATGAGACCTTTACCTCCCTTGCCTGCCATGTTCGCTCACACTTTGATGCTGTCTACTTCTAGATCTAGCTAGACATAGTCAAACATAAAACAAGAAAACCTCTTAGAACAACAGATCTGAAGTGTTTTGGTTGATGGAGAGAGATAAGAGTACCTGAGACGGAGAGAGAGAGTGGGAGGAGATGAGTAAACCGTAAACTGGTTGGAATGAATGGGATGAGTGTTTTAAATTTGAGTTTGGTGGGAGTTTTAAATTGTTTTGGAAAATTTGGGGGGAACTTTTTGTCTTTGGCGGTTAATTTTTTTTTGCTTCGAGCTCTTTTATAAAACGTTTTATACTATTTGCCGTTATACCCTCCATTTCTTAACGAAATTTTGTAATGCACTTTTATTATTTAAAAATAGAAATATAACCAATGCCAAATAGCTAAGTATATGTATGCATTTAGTATTGAAATTTGTATCTTGATGAAAGATGGAGTTATTCAACTACTAATATAGTAAGAATGTTGTTTTTTATAACTGACCCATTTATATTCACTTCAAGAGTAAGTTTTAAGAGATTCGTGGAGAAAAAACTTTGTGATTTTGCTTTTATGATGAATAAGTTGTTGAAAGGATCAATATATCTGACTCCAATACATATAAATCCAAATTGGATATTTTACCAATATGTTAATCAATTTTGATGATTCTTTGATTAAACTTGTTAGATTACGAACACCATCTATTTTACTTCAAACGCATGAATAAAATCTTTGTACAGAACAAAGTAAAACACTTAACATTCGGCTTACGGATTTCTGTACAGAACAATGAACAAACAGAGACTGTCAAAATAATATATAATTTTCACACAAACTACATTATGTAATCATATTGTTGTTTATTATGCTCTAATGAAACGCAATCATGAAAACAATATCTCTTTGCTTCCCCCAAAACATAATGCTACACTCGGCTATGTAACATAGGGAAAACGAATATGGTGTCATGCCATTAACGCATATATGATGGAAAAAAAAAACACACACACAATGTCTAAAATAAACTTTAGTCCAAAACTCTTCAAGTCTGTATGAATTATAAAAGGAGCTTTGAGTTTTTACCTTTATAAGCCAACAACACAAACAAAACATATCACTCATCAACCTCTGCTCTGATTTCTCTTTGGAGATCTTCCTTGTACTCTTCGAAAGTGCCGTCGAAGAAAGTCACCGTTCCATCTTCTACAACCCAAATCTGACTCTTCTCCTCATCCTCACAGACACGTGATATGAGTCTCGAGTCGTGACTCACCAGCACAACTCCTCCACTGAACTCCTCTAGCGCATCAGCCAACGCATCTATACTCTGCATGTCTAAGTGATTCGTAGGCTCGTCAAGAAGCAAAATATGTGGCTTAGACATTGAGATTGAAGTAAACACAACTCTAGCTTTTTGTCCACCAGACAGTTTCGCAATGGGAGTTAAGTGGTTGTGACTTGGTAGCCCAAACTTGCCTAGCTTGGCACGCACTGCTTCTTGTTTGCTAAATCCCTCTTGGTCAGGATGAAGGCGAAGAAGATACTGAACTGGTGTTTCCCCCATTGTTAACAGGTCAACAAAGTGCTGAGAGTATCTGCCAATCCTCAGCTTTTGGCTTCTTCTCACTTCACCTTCACTTGGGTCTAAATCTCCAGCAAGAAGATTCAAAAGAGTGGACTTTCCAGCTCCGTTAGGCCCAACTATAGCGACCCTTGTACCCATATCGATACCTACATCAACATCTGAGAGCCTGAAGTCCGGCCTGTTGGGGTAGCAGAAGCTAACCTCAATCAACTGCAGAAGAGGAGGAGTGAGCTCTGTTGGTTCTGGAAAATGAAACTCAACGCTGTAATCTCTCCACTTTCTTGGAGCTTCCGGTGCTGGGCCATCATCATCCACCACCTTACCTTTTCCTTTATTCTTGGATGCTTCTTTCGCCGCGGTAAACTTGGCCTTGTCCTTAACCTTCTCCTGTTGAGCACGGTTTCCAGTTCTCTTCGCTGCTTTAACCTGTTTATCATAAATCTCGAACTTTTTGTTCATCTCCTTGCGTCGCTGCTCATATCCACTCTCGAAACTGTCGAAATTACCACGATAGAAGTGGAGATTCTGGTCATGCAAATGAATTATATCAGTGCAGACAGTGTTGAGGAAGTCACGGTCATGTGAAACAACAACCAACGTCTTCTTCCAACGACACAGATACTCCTCTAACCAGAGAACAGCCCTCAGGTCAAGATGGTTGGTGGGTTCATCTAACAACAAAAGAGTAGGTTGCACAAAGAGAGCTCTAGCTAACGAGATTCTCATCCTCCATCCACCACTGAATGACTTAGTTGGCCTCACTTGCATGTCTTTTGTGAAACCCAACCCAGCGAGAATCTTAGACGCCTGCGCTTCAGCAGCATCTGACCCCAAGATCTGTAGCCTCTCATACAACTCAGCAAGCTTTTCTCCAGAATCATCATCTTCGTTGTCGTCACCCTCACCTTCACAAGACGCATTCTGTAGAGCTGCAGCTTCTTCCCGGAGCTTAACCAACTCCTCATTAGCAGAAACAACTGCTAGCAAAGCACTCTTGTCATCACCAACCACCTCTTGCTCAACAAGAAGAACATCAATATTCTTCGGAACTGGAATCTTCCTCCACGCTAAAAGCTTCAACAAAGTAGACTTCCCCATCCCATTAGGCCCAACCAATCCATACCTCTTCCCATGCGATATCTTAACAGAAGCATTCTTCAAAAGCTCCTTACCCCTAGCAGAAACAGAAAAAGACTCAATCGTAATATCTTTCACATTAGCATCAGCCGTGTCTTCTCCTTCAAGCACAGCCGTCTTGCTACCAATAACAACAGTGAAAGCATCATGGTCATCCCTCAAAGCCTCCTTCTTTGCAAGCTCCATAGCCCGGAGAGCCTCCCTCTCTTTCATCTCTCGCTTCTTCTGCTCCTTATCAGTCACAGAGATGTCAAGATGCCTCTGTTCGCTCTTCAGCTTCCTCCTTGCTTCAGCCTGTCTCTGCTCCTCATCAGAGTCTCCTTCTTCGTCCTCCTCAGAGGAAGGAAGATCCATGTCTCCGTAGGGAGAATCTTGCTTAGGAGCAGCCTTGGGTCTTGATGATGAAGCGCCTTTCTTCGGTTTATCATCTTTCTTATCCATACTTGCAAGCATAGCAGAGACAGAAATCTTCTCCTTTTTGGGTTCTTTAGAAGAATCTTTCCCACTTGCTTTCCCCTTACTGGGACCACCACTCTCCTCTGACTTCTTCTTATTACCCATATAAGCCTCTGTACATGAAATTAAAAAAAATCATGTAAAAATTGGATTTTTTTCTTAGCTTTAGTTACAAATCTACCAATCATATTATCTAACAAGCTAATTTACATACTCTGAGCTGATTGATTTCTCAACATAGCCCTAAAAATTAGGGTTTTCTACTTAATCCAGATCGAAAAGGATTTCAATTACTTCTGGGTTTCGTTTACCTAATATCATAACGAGAATCTCAAATCTATACGAAATTATACAAAATCTAAGTTAAGTTTGTACGAGCTGTGAACTACGAACAATAAAGGTTATCAATTTAATTGAGATTGGGAGACAAACCTGTGAGATGCGAAAAGCAGAATGATTGAATATGAGAAATAACGAACACTCCTCCGTCTGGAGAAAATCGATCTAACAATAATAACTTTTTAGAGAGAACGGCGCAAAAAGTAATTGAAGATTGTTCTTGTGGTATGAAGACGACGAAGACGAAGAATCACAATTTAAGTGAACTTGAAGATATTGGGCTTTTTAACCTTTTTAAAGCTCGGCCCAATATCACATTAAAACAGTCCTTAACCGGGCCCAAAGAAATGAAAATTGTAGGAACCGACATATTCTTAATTTTTTTTTTTTGGCAAGATATATATTCTTAGTTTTTTATTTTTTTAAACCCTGGTTAATTATATATTACAAATTATGAAAAATATTACATAAATGATATTTTAACGATAATTCTACATGTCTTATGCGCATTTACGTCTGACAGAATTATCTTGAGCCGTCTTATAAAATTCATTCATGACAGTATGTCTTGCGAAGATCTCTTGTAAATTTTTTCTCTAATCTGCATAATTCATTATTTATTTTCTCCGGAAATTTAAATCTTCTTACTGTAAATATTGCATAGTCTCGGGTTCTTAGTTAACAAATGAAAACCGACAGTATCACAATCTTTTTCTACAATTTCAGTTTTGTAACAAAATTGAGTTTGAATTCGTTTTTTTTAAACCTTCGGTACGGATTATTTAAGCATAATGCCTACTAGTGACCAGCGGTGATAAAAGGTCATTATATCAAAACAATTAATGACCTCAACCTATTCCATTACTAGATAACATAAGTTATAATTATCTAGCATAATGATTACCAGTGATGAGAAACGGATCACTAGGACATATATTATGGTTGCTTTTTTTTTTGACATCTTTATGGTTGCTATTATATTTTTTGCGAATGAGTTTGAGTTTTATTTCAATTGTTACTTTTATCTTTTTTCCTAGAAAATAGATAAGTATATTAAATTTATTCTATTATTTGTATTTATTAGTAATTCTAATAATATTTTTATCTTATTAAATTATAAAATTTATCCAATAATAATATTTTATTTTAATTAAAATTTAGTATATATATATATATAAGTTAAGTTGGTAATAGATTTATAATTGTATTATAACGAAAGTAGTGATAATTTTATTAAAGTATAAAACACAATTATTTAATTTTTAAATATAGAACAAAAATTATATAAAATTTTCAAAAAATGGTTTGTAAATAAACGAATTTAATTGATAAAAATAAGAATATGATAGTATTTCTAGAGAATACAATTTAAATAATGCACTATTGACAAAATTTATCTTTATTTTTCGCTAAATGAAGAATGATTAGAGATGGTCTTACAAAAGAAACGAGGTCAAGTCATATGTTTGTTTCCAAGAATATTAATGCTATGCTGTAAGGTCGACGCTGCAAGAAGAAGACATAGCCAAACTGTTATTAAAAAACCACATACAAAAGAACCTTTCTTCTGGAGGGAAGCCGTTAACTTTTCCTTGGAGTGGGGTGCAAGAGTTTGAGTAATCAAATGTGAGAGCCTTTATTTAAAAACCTTGTCAACTATGAATTTTCTCTTTATATACGCGACTCAACAAACAAAGGCATTTATATAAAAAATTGTTAGCTAAAAAGATATAATACTCAACAGAAGCTATGGAAAATCTCAATGAAAACTATACTGAAAAGAGTTTAGGGAAGGAGGTGTCACCCTGCCTTGACCCTGTTGTGCAAGCAACAGTTGGAGAAGCCAAGGAGCGACTAAAGAAGCTCGAGCAAGATTATCAACGCACTTTCAAAAAGTACGGAGAAGTACAAGTAAGGATATAAGAAAAATAAATGACAAACAATGATTCCTCCCTTTATAAGCATTTGTGTGGGTCAATTACTCATGTTGTTATAATCTTATGAGGCTAGTTTTACAATATATAAACTCTGTGGACAGTTAAACAGATATAGGTGCCACGTGGATGGAAAAGGCTTAAAACATCACAGTTACTGGACTGGATATTGTATCAGGTGCTGCAAGAATCAGGTGAAGGAACTGCAGAATGTTCTTGACAGAGTGAATATAGAACAAGTGTCACAGCGAGGAACAGAAACACTTAATCATGTATGTCCACAAAACCAATTAACTTCCTTTTGTTTTTATTTTTACCGTATAATAGAATTGTCAGCTTCATGCCTCAAACGATGAAAAATTACCATTGTTTTTGTCCCGTTAGGCAGTAAAAAGTTATGGACTGGTTTCGTATAACTTTAGCTAGTAAGCACACAGTTCTAGTAAAATCATATTAGCTAAATTTTTTTTTGTGAAATGTAACTGTTTTAGAGCCAGAAGTTCTTGATGTTGCACGGTTGTAGAAACTTGGCTCAAGAAAAGATGATACTACAACAGAAAGCAGAACACATACAACCAAACAATGAGAAGCTGAGTAAAACAAAATTTGACTTCAGAGAAGCTAACTTTAACAGGGAGGTACTACTATTTTTACCTTAATAGGCTATTTGTTTTAGCCGCGTAAATTAGATTTATATATTTACTTCTCCATTTTACAAATCATACAGTTCCAGGGAATCCTAGAAGAAGTTCCAAAGATTTGCAGCAAGAAACATGTACACAATCTATTGAGTGAACTTAAGGAAACAAACAGATTGAGAAAAGCAGCTACCGAGGGAGGTGCAATAGTGGGAAACAACAACACAAGTCAGGACACCATACAAACTTGTACAAGTAGTGTAATAAAAGTAATAAAGAATCATGACACCTTTTATCCTTTTTAACCCATGGGGAGTGTTTCCTTAAACTAAACAATAGTGTAATGATCATTGTTTGTAACTAGATTCTAGTGAAGCTTATAAGAGAGTTGGAGAAAGAAAAATCCAAGAAAGATAATATTTTGCTAGAGAAAGGAAGGGTAAACCAAGGATATAGAGACAAGATGAGGCATCTAGAAGAGAAAAAGGAATGGATATGTGGGAAATGGGATGATGAAAGGAAATACATGCTTAGGTTGAAGAACATTGATGATGGATTGGAATATTTCCTGCCAGACTCTGAAAGATGGAGAATCCTACCTTTCATATATTTTGAGTGATTTGTAATCTGATTCTGCTAACTCTCCACTATGTAGCTCCTGCACAGTATAACTACTGTTCCAGCGCTGAAAATAAAATATCTATAGGCTTCAAAACAAAACTTACTGTATCTAAAAAAAAAAAACTTACTGTATCGTCTTATCTGAACTTGTAGCTTGTATAGTAAAATCTGGTCTATAAACATATGAGGTGGTGAACATGGAGAAACATAGTTTTTCTTGAAAATACCACACAAGATTTTTTTAGAGCAAAGTGATACTATACAACGTTTACCAGGAAAAAAATGCCACTGGTTATGTGTAGTCGTTAGAATAACATAAAACATTGACATCATGATATGGATACAAGAACTAATATATTCCTTCTCACAAAACACAGACACAACTAATCCTCTATCTTAGAATGTTATTGCATACTCCTGAAGTAAATCGGATGGATTAAGAGCTCGCAACAAATAGTTGATTTTTAGAAACATTTATAATAAGCTTAACCCAATGCACAAGAGGAGAACATGGCATGGGCATGGGGGGGGGGAGTTATAGGAGAAAGATTTTTTGTGAAAAAAACTTGCGAGGCATTGGTAATTCCTAAATCATGATCATATTTAATGTTAAATCACTATAACCTCTAAATATCATATGCCTCAAGTAGATGATTTCCAATAGCTTCAAGAAGAGACAGATGGTGAAACATATATTAGTTAATAACCAATTGAAATATACAAAGAAGAAGATTCTTGTAGGGGAGCAGCTGACTTTCTTAGAGTGGGGTGCAAGTGTTAGGACAACTAGTTGTGAGAGTTCGTTTCATTTTTTAACAATGGTTTTTCTCTTTATAAACACAACACATGAACACAAGGCTTTCATATAAACCCTTCCTAAAATAACACTCAGGAGAAGCTATGGAAAATCTCAAAACCGATGGTAAGGAAACCTATACATGATCTGTTGAAGAGAGTCAAAGAGATAAAAAAGTTGATGGATAAAGCTATTGCAAACGGTGCTTTGGAAGGAAACTTCATTTGTCAGGACGATATGAAGATAGCTATAAGAGCAAGTGCAACGCCGAGTACATAGCCGTAATCCTTAAAAAAATTATTATAATATTGACTTTTTTTGTTTTCGTAACGTTACCCAAGCCGAAAAATCCTAAGCTAAGGATTGATTGAGCTAAGTTTTGTTACTGTGCCGCGGACTCCACGACACGTGGTGGTCCATGATTAACTAGTTTTTTGTTTTTTTTCTTAGGAAAACGAAAAAAGAAAAAAAAAACTAATAAAATAACTTCAAACCAAAATTGGAAATCGAGCCATTGGAAAACACGATTGCACATGGTCTAAGAGCACCCACATTGATGAACCCCCTTTGGGGGTTCATAGAAATAAAAAAATAATTTTTTTTTTTTATTTTCGTTTACTTTTTAAAAAATAAAAAATTTAAAAAAAAATTAATTTTGGACCATTCATATGTTGACACGTGGTGAACCCGGGGTCATCGGGGTTCACCGCGATGAACTTTTGAGAGAGGAGTTCATAGAAATCTGATTTTAATATTATTTTTTTTTCTCGGTTTCCGTGTGAACTCCCCCCATCAACCCTTGATGGGGGTGCTCTAAGTATCGAAATAAAGGTAATGAAGTTTCACGACGTTTTTCTCATATTTTGTTACAACTTGTTTCTTAAAACTAACAAATGGGATGATGTCTGTTTGCCACTAGCTTCTGACGAAGATAATCAGAGACTTTGAGAAAGAGGAGTGGAGACAGAGAACATTTTGGAAGACAAAAGAAAAATTGAAAATGTATGCAGAGAAAAGATTAGACAGCTACGAGAAAAGTATGAATGCATAGGTGAGAAACAAGAAGCAGAAAACAAATACATACTCGACTTGAAGAAAAATTTCAGGCCGAGGCATAAAACTACTTCATAAAGAAAGGGCTGCATAAAAGGGTAGCTTTAGAGATGTATACTCCTATCATTTCAAACTTTAAAACATGTTAAGATCTATTCTTAGGAATAGAAGAAGAATTGAATAAGTTATTATCATGTTGCTTTTATAATGCATTCATTTTTTGATGCACCCTCTGCTTTATCAACCCAAGTGGTCTTAGTTCTTACCAACAATCGACCATACAAGACTATCAAATTAATTATTTGTTGTTGTATCTGATGCAAGTATGCAACCATAGATTATACAAATAACCTTTGACTTATATTAAAAGCCTTGTTGACCAAACATAACTGACTTCAGTGGTGTGGCTTTGGTCAAACTATGACTTCTTCTCTCTCATATCATCACATTGAAATTCAATATTATGCCAAATATTTCTTTGTATTCTATGCCCAAATCTTTTTAGAAGAACATCATCTCTTATCGCCAGAGTGCAGAGAAAGATGCCTAAAATATTATTAAACAAAATAATATGTAGAAATTTTCTTCCCTCCATTGACTTCCTTGGCGTGGGGTGCACGAGTTTGGATAAATTAATTGTGATAGGTTGCTTCTTTCAAGCTATATGATTTCTATCTTCATATAAGAACACACAGAGAGAGAGACCAACTATAATACATGGAAATTCTTGAATTCAGTGGCATGGAAGCTTCTATTCTGCTCAACGATAATAACAATATTTCGAACTCTATTGGCACTGGAGGCAACTATAATACATCAGAAAAAGTTGTGCATATCTCAGTTTCCCAAGCCGAGAAGCAACTGAAAAAGCTGGAGAGGGATTATCAACACACCTATGAGAATTACCTAGAAACCCGAGTAAGCATCGACCCACAAATATAACAGAATTATGATTACTTGTAATGTTTTTACTAAGCTCAAAAGATGAGCTATATACAACATGATAATGAAAAAGTTTTTGGACAGTCAAACAGGTATAGCTCCTACATTAAAAGAAGACATTCTAGTTATCGCAGTGGCCAAGCTGGAAACTGTATCATATACTACAAGAAACTGCGAGAGAAACTGCAGAATGATCTTGAAAAACTGAATCAAGCAGAAGAAACGCAAAGAAGAACAGAAAAGCCTGATTACGTAAGTCCTCATAACCGATTAAATATCATTTTTGTATTCTCATTATTGTATAAAACAATAGTACTAGAGATAAAATAAAAAGAGAAGAATCAGCCTCCATCCTTAAACATGATCAAACAATAATTTTCCTGTTAACTATGGAAATAATATTATATATATCTGTCATCTCTTTGGGTACACTATAGTGCAAGCAATTCTTGATGCTGCATGGTTGTAAAAGCTTGGCCCAAGAAAAAAAGATACTAAACCAGATAGGAGAAACACAACAGCAGCAGCAACAACAACGACAACAACAACAACACCCGGAAAACAATGACCTGGGTCAAAGAAGAATTTATTTCAGAAAAAGAAACTGGGAGGTGCTACAACTGTTACTTTTTTACTAGTCTTCGTTCATATCACAAGATTAGCATTTATACTTACTTCGAAATCTTACAAAATCATTCAGTACATTCAAAGTACAGTTCCAAAAAGTAGCAGCAGCAAAGGAATACATGATCTCCTGAGGAGCCTTAAAGACATAGAGAAGCTGAGGAACAAAGCTACTGCCAGTGGTGAACTTGTTGACAACCAAACAAGTCAGGACAGTTTAAATACTTCTATAAAAGTAATCAAAATCAGACCCTTTCCAACTTATTTTCTTAAGACTGTGTTTTTTTAATTATCTACTTTCTTTAGAATTTTTAATACTGATCAGCTAAATGATATTTGTTTTTTCAACAGATTCTGACAAAGGTAATAAAAAATCTTGGAAAAGAAACAGGGAGAGAGACAATGATTGATATTGATTACGAGGAAAAGATCAAGCATCTAGAGGAAAAATGTGAATGGATATGCGGGAAATGGGATGAACAAAAGAAGTATATTATCGAGTTGAAGAAAATACATAAAGATGGGTTGTAAAATGTATATATTATAAAAGAAGTAAACTCGTAAAATGTCATAGATGATTTTATCAAAAAAAAAAAATGTCATAGATGATAAACTTCAGATTTTGAGGAAGATAAATCCATAAATAAAAATAGTTCCTCAATTTTGATAAACAATATGTTTTCTGTTTATTCAAGAGTTTGCACGTCTTCATTCTAAATCACTCACAAAAGAAACAACATTCAGCATTCTCATGCTCTCCAGAAGCTCACTGGTCCTGGCCGGATCGGTCTTGCTCAAAACCGAATGAAATATTGACTTTAATTCTCCAATTTTTGAAAAAAATTACATAGACTTAATAAAAGTCCACTCTCCCAAGAAAAAAAATGTTTTAAACCTCAAATATGTATAGAAAAAATATTAGATAAAATCTTTAATAAAAAGTTTACTATCCCCTAAATCTTTCTCCATGCCTGCAAGCATGGCACAGACTGAAATTAGGGTTTTCTACTTAACCTAGATCAAAGGATCAGTTACTAGTGGGTTTGGTTTACCTAATACGATGATTATACAAAATCTAGGTAAAGGTTTCTACGAGCTGTGAAATTTAGAACAATAAGATCAGTTACCAGTCTTACGTTGAGATTTGGAGACAAACCTGAGAGATGTGAAGGTAGGAAGAATTGATTCGAGAGTTTTTGAGAAACAAGAAATTGATGCGCATAAACAAGACTCTCTTACATTGAACCAGGCGTAAAATTACAATGAGGGAGACAGAAACTATTATATAGACCCAAAACCACACTAGAGAGAAAACAAATCCATTTGGAAACTATGCGCATGAACCAGGCATAAATTTACAATGAGGGAGCAAACTCTCTTACATGAACCAAGAGTACCAGACATAAAGTGACAAATAAAGGGAGACAAACTATATATGGAACCCAAAATAGAAAACCGGTTTTGTTTTGAGAGAATTTCAATTATACTATTTTGGTGGTACCACTTTTTTTAACCATCATCAAATGAACATTTTAAAAAATACACATTTTATTAAAGGATAAAATACTCTTATATCCTTGTTCTTTATATATATATAAATAAATATTAAATAAAATATTAACCATAAACCCTAAAACATCAATTCTAAACTCTAGGCCCTAAAAAGTAAATCCTAAACCCTAAAAATCAACCTTAAATCCTAAAATATCAATTATAAACCTTAAACCCTAAACTCTAAACCCTAAAATGTAAACACTAAACCCTAAAAAATCAACAATAAACCCTAAAAAATCAACACTAAACCCTAAACTATCAATCCTAAACCCAAAACCCTAATCCCTAAATTCTAATAGTATTTTGACTATTTAAATTTTAGTGGTAGAGTTGGTTAGTGTAAAGTTGAAAAGTGGTATCTAGGATTTGGACATGTCCGAGTACAACTGCTCTCACTTCTTGGCCAAGGTATCCCAAGATTCTTTGTCATCCTTTGTCAACGTCTCTTCAAATTCGGCGAGGAAATCACCCGACATGTAAGAAGCAAATCCGAACCCCGCCACCAAAGGCACACATCGACTTACGAAAACAGTGACACTATAGCTTCCTCCTTTGTCGCAGAAAGTACGTCCTTGACGAACGCGGTAAGCCTTCGCAACCAAAGATCTCAGGTTCGGCTTCATGGTCGTCGGGGCAATTAGGTTTTGGCTATTCCTTTCGAGAAACAAGAAATTGATGATTGCTCTTGTGGTATTAATAAAGTTTGAAGAGATTGGATTCGTAACCATGTGTCTAAAAAATTCGGCCCAAATCCAATCTTGAACCGGATCAGTACAAAATTTTAATTTGTAGAGAAAATATTGAATCGAGCCGAACCGACATATTAAGAGTCAAAATCTTTGGTTTCCTTGGGTTCAAACTCAGGTTTGTCCTTTAATCATACTAGTAGTTTTACCTGATTAAGGGTCTGACTAGTTACAATGCAGCGATTGCGGTTGTGGTTACAGGCGTTTGCGGATGCATAAGATTGTGGTTTTAAGCATTAATAAGAGATTTAGACGACTGGTTTAACAGTTACAAATTGTTGTGTTTACGGAATACTTATGACTGGTAAACTACCAAATACAACAATGGTTAAATAATAAATTAACAATATTAAATATATAACTTATTCGAGGCTGCAGCAAGAAGACATAGCCAAAACTATGTGTTAACAAATCATATACAGAAGAAAGGTTCTTCTTGAGGGAAGCCGTTGACTTCCTTGGAGTGGGGTGCAAGAGTTTGAACAATCAAATGTGAGAACTGAAAACCTTTTATTCAAAATGTTTTCAACTACGACTTTTCTCTTTATATAAATGATTCAACAAATAAAGGCTTTTACATAAAGAAATCTTGTATTGCAAAGAAAAAACAACAGCAAGAGAATCTATGGGAAAACTCAAATTCGCAGGCGTGGAAATTTCTACTCTGCTAAAAGATATCAGCTACACGGCCAATTCCGTTGGTATTGGAGACAATTATACTAAAAAGAGTTTAGAGAATGAGGTGTCACTCTGCGTTGACCCTGTTGTGCAAGCATCAGTTGGAGAAGCCAAGGAGCGACAAAAAAGCTCGAGCAAGATTATCGACGCACTTTCAAAAAGTACAAAGAATTACAAGTAAGGATATAAGAGAACTGAAAATAAATGACAAACAAAAGCTTTTGTGTGTGTCAACTACTCATGTTGTTATAATCTTATAAGGCTAGTTTTACAATTAACTCTATGGACAGTTAATCAGGTACGAGTGCGACAAGGAAGGAAAAGGCTTACAGCATCACAGTCGCTGGGCTGGATACTCTATCACGAACTGCAAGGATATGGTGAAGGAACTGCAGGACATTCTTGACAGTCTGAATATAGAAAAAGCTTCACAACGAACAGAAACACCTAATCATGTATCTCCACACGACCAATTTGAATTATCAGTATTTTCTTCACCACAATGACATTATTACTAGGAATGGGAAAACAGAATTGTTAGCTTCATGGAAAATGAAATATCACCATTGTGGTGTATTACGGATAAATATATCCCACATTGAAAGTTAGAAATCATTCTAAATAATATATAAGATATCAATCTACTTGTTAAGTAGAATACTCTATAAATTAATAATCCATAAATTAATATACACTAAAAATCTCTATAAATTAATATAATTTTATAGTCTCAAATTGAATTTTTAGTTCATTTAATATATCGATAAATTAATAATCTTTATAAATTAATAAAAAAATTAATAGTTTTGGTGTAATCCCAACATTATTAATTTATAGAGGTTTCACTGTAATTGGTTTTAGCTTAAAAATGTTTCTTATAGCTTAAGCTAGTAAGCACACAGTTCTAGTAACTCATATTATCTAATTCTCATTCGTTTTTGTTCAATGAAACTGGTTTAGAGCAAGAAGTTCTTGATGTTGCACGGTTGTAGAAGCTTGAGACAAGAAAAGATGATACTTCAACAGAAAGCAGAACACATACAACCGAACAATAACAAGCTGAGTAAAAAAACAATATACTACAAAGAAATTAACATTAACTTGGAGGTACTACTATTCTTACCTTAATAGGCTCTTTCTTTTAGTAACTTAAATGAGATTTGATATTTACTCCTCTATAATACATATCAATCAGCTCCGCCAAATCCAAAAACACTTTCCAAGAATTAGCAACAAGAAACATGACCACGGTCTGTTGAGTGAACTTAAGGTGACAAACAGATTGATGTTAGAAGCAGCTACTGAGGGAGCTGTAATGGTGGGCAACAACACCTCAATTCAGGAAAGCATACAAACTTCTACAAGTAGTGTAATAAAAGTAGTAAAGAATCATGAATCTTTTTATCCTTTTCACTCATGCAAGGTTTTTTTCCTTCTAATACTAATCAAAAGTGTATGATCATTGTTTGTCACTAGCTTCTAGCGAAGGTAATAAGAGAGTTGGAGAAAGAAAAAGAGAAGACAGATAACATGTTACTAGAGAGAACAAGCCTGGAAAAAGGATATGCAGACAAGATGAGGCATCTACAAGAGAAAAAGGAATGGATATGCGGGAAATGGGATGATGAAAGGAAATATATGCTTAGGTTAAAGAACACTGATGATGGATGGGAATATTTACTGCCAGACTCTGAAAGATGGAGAATCCAACCTTTCATATATGTTAAGTGATTGTAATCTGATTCTGCTTAATAACTCTCCCCTATGTATCTCCTGCACACTATAACTACTATTTCAGCACTCAAAATAAAAGTTCTATAAAGCTTCAAAACTTATTCTTTTTATTTTTAGTTTTTGCCACTTACAAACTCGTAGCTTCTCATTTAAACTTGTATATGGTCTAGTATATGTGGTCGATATGGTTTGAAATATATCAGGGTGGTGAAGATGGAGAAATATTTTGTTTTTCTTGAAAATACCACACAATATGTTTTAGATCAAAGTGATAATATACAACGTTTGCCATGAAATAAGTCTAGTCCTTCGAATAACATAAAACATTGCTATTTATGATATGGATACAAGAACAAATCCATTCCTTGTCAGTTTTCACAAAAGCACACATATTTACATATATCTTATAATATTATATATTTGCATACTCCTGAAGTGAATCGAATGGATAGACTCGAAAAGAAACAGTTGATTTCAGAAACATTAACAGAAATATTAACCCAATCACAAAGATGGCATAATTAAAATGGAGAGCTTTTGAAAAATAAAGAGAGCTAGAGAGGAGACATATGAGTTCATAGTTGATAAAAGAGAAGGCATCGACAAGAAAAATATGAATGTATAGGTGAGAAACATCATGCACAAAATACATACTCGGCTTGAAGAAAATTTCGGGCCGAGGCACAAAACTACTTCACAAAGCAAAGGCTGGCCAAAGGGGTACCTTCAGAGATATACTTTTTGAGTTCAAACTTCAAAGACAAGCTATCATGTTGTAATTCATAGCTGTTATTCACTTTATGATGCACCTCTGCTTTA